GGCCCCGTGAAGAAGCGGCAATCCAAACGTTTAACGAATCAATCGGCGGCCGCCGTTAATGGCGGTGGGAGCAACAGGTGGTCTAGGAATCGATCGTCTAAGAGAGACGATTCCATCATTCAGGAGCGAGCTCTCGCCGCCGCGATTCTCCTACAGCAGCAAATGCAAAACGGCGGAGGAGGTGGTGCTGCTCCTTTTGATCGTTCAGCTTCGCTTCGGTATCCGAATTCGAATTCTAAGAAGAATCAACCTCTACCGCGTTCCTCAAGCTCTAGGGCTCGCTCTCTTACTGATCCTCTTCTTCAGCCTCACCAGCTTGTGAACCAGGTATCTGTTTTTTTTCGCACTTCTATTATTTACTTATCAATCCTGGCATTTTCTTGATTTGTATTTTCGTTGTTGATTACCTATTTATGGGCGATGAATCCGTAGCTTTTGAGAGTTTGCTGTATTTCAATTGATAGATTAGATTTCCGTGCATCATGGGAATAATGCACTAAAATAGTGGAAGAAAATTTGGTCACAGAATTAGACTAATATACTAAGAATTGTTTATTATGATGCTATTTAGAAATGCCACCGGCAGACAGTGAGATTTTAAGATGATCCTCTGTTCTACTTTGACATTATTTCTTTATTAGTCCATTAAAAATATAATCACACATTTCGATATATTATTGATGAGAAGGTATTTTAGCCACAAAATGCTCTAAAAAGATTAAGATCCCAAGTTTCAAAAGTGTTATAGCCTATATAGGACATGAATGTTTAGAGGTATATATTACTACCTCAAATTTCAAGTTTATTTTCTAAAAAAATTCATGACAAATCAAACTATGCAAAAAAATAAAATAAAGCAGAGTCGTATTCATTTAAGTCAAAACTAACTCAAGGCTGGTAATTTTTCAATGCATCATTAAGTAATTCTTGAAAGTATTCTAATATGCAGGGTAGCAGAAAATGGTGTTCATTCTTTCTTTTTACACTACCTCACTGTATAACCAATACAAATACATTTATGAAGATATATAACAACATTGGCTTAAGGTATTAATTTTAAGAAGACAAAAACAGTGCTATTATAGGTTTTGGAAAAAATGAAAATAACACAACTAAGTGCTGCTAATGTAATTTGAACATATACATCATTTTAAACCCCAGAACATTGCTTTAATAACTTCATTGTGAGTTTTCTGTTGAAATTCAGTAATATATGTAACACACAATTAATGTTTTATAATGTAAATCATCTATATATAAAGCATTTTATGACCAAGGCAACATTGAACCCTCTTAGTAGCATGCAGATCCAAGAAAGCTCCGGTCTGTGGGTGAGGCTGTGAGGATAATTCATTTTTCTGCAAAAGTGGGCATTTTAGTCCGACATCTTTGGTACTAATCTACCCGCAATCTGAAATAGAAATTGCGGAGGTTGAGCCATTTTGTAGGTTTAGCTTAGACTTGGTCAAGAATGTATGTTCATTTGTAGTGGTTTCAGCAGGAAACCGCAAATTGATGACAGACTCATTGCACTTTAGCTTCCTTCCCGTTTCTTGTTTTTATGTGATCATACATATGGCAATTGGGCTACTTTTTCCTCCAGGAATCCTAAGAGTAATCTTTTGCTGTCCAATTTCATTCCCCCCCCACCCCCCACCCCCCAAAAAAAATAAAAATAAAAAATAAAAAATAAAAAATTAAGAACACTCCATTTGCTTTCTACTATGGTGTCATGGGGTGAGTTTGTCTAAGTTCAGTCTTTTTGATGTTTGTCTTTGGCAGGAAGTGAAGGTTGATGATTTAGAGACGAACCATTTCGTCCTCGTTCATGGTGGTGGATTTGGGGCCTGGTGTTGGTATAAAACCATTGCACTTTTAGAAGAAGCTGGATTTAAAGTTACTGCAGTTGATTTAACCGGTTCAGGCATTCATTCTTTCGACACAAATAGCATCGCAAGCCTATCGCAATATGTACAGCCGCTCACTGATTTTCTTGAGAAGCTTGCTGATGGAGAAAAGGTTAGTTCTGTATCATTTCTAGCATTCTGTTTCCCACTGAATCCACTATTATATCTTGCATTCTTTTGGAAATTCAGAGCTTTAAAGAAAACCACTTGCTTCTAATTCTTGGGCACTAGTGGAGATTGTCTGGTGGAGTTTTTATAAGAATTGAGTATATTAAAAAAAGAGTGATTTGTAGGAACTTTTTATTCTTTGCCAAGTTAGCTGTTCCAAAACTCCGGTACCTGCAAAAGCGCATTCTTTTCCATTATCTGTTGTGATTGAGAGAAGACCATGCTCATTTTTGCTGTAAGAGGCGGTATTCAGTACAAACAGCCTTCTTCCATTCCTTCTCCTCAAATGAGGTCTTATAGAAGGATAAGCATTCACATCTCTTTGAAGCAAAACTTCACTGTTTCAACATGATTCATCTTAAATTAAACTAAATACAAGTGACCCAGAGTGCGAAATCAGGAAACAGGGGAACAAGATGGAAAAGGTCATATCATCAATAATCATAGGAACTTTCTGTATGATTTAACTTAAAGTACTCTGTCCCTAGCCAAGTCTTTGTTGCATTAGGTAGGTGAAGATCAGCAATTCATGATAAAACAGAAAGGAAAAGTTTTCTTACATCGGATTAATCTATTTTGTTATGCTCATTGGGCAAGTTAATTAGTCGCAAAGTGAGGCTTGGATATATTACTTCATGATACTTTTAGATATGAATACTGAGTTTTGTGAATCTCCAAATCCCAACCTAACTACAGTGGGAAGTCCTTATCACCCTTCATAACTATGTTTGCTCTGCCGTTGTTGAATTAAAGTTGGAATATTTCTTTAAACATGTAGGTGATTTTGGTGGGACATGATTTTGGCGGTGCCTGTATATCCTTTGCGATGGAGCGCCATCCCCTTAAGGTTTCGAAAGCTGTGTTTGTTGCTGCTGCAATGCTCACTAGTGGACAAAGTGCCCTTGATATGTTCTCACAAAAGGTAAAAGTTGGTCATTTTGATCAACTACTTTCAATTGGTTCTTTTGAAATCTGCACTGCACACCCAATTTGACCTTTGTCCGTGTAAGTTTATGTTACATGTCTCCTTTGGTTATTGAGCTCATTGATCATTTATTCAGGTGATCTACACTTATCCCTTATCTTAGTTTGTGATCAGATAATCTCTGGCAGATGTAGAAGTAGTTTTCTCTTGTGAATATTTGGGGCAGGGCTATGACAGTTGAAACTACATGATACAGATGTTGATTTCACTGTTCCTCTAGAGACCAATTAATGGCTCTTGGAGCTCTTGCTTTAAAGTCAATCTCATTTTTACATGGGTTACTATGTTTCAGTAAGCATCGGCATCAGTGCTTCATCATTGAGGACATAGATGCCATGATATACTCATGGACAAATTTAAACTTAAGCCTTGAAGATTAGGGATGTCACTGCTGTGCAGTTTTTCTGTGACATGCTTCAAGGAATCCACTATTCATCATGATAAACCACTAGAACACATGCTATATGTTTCAGGTGAAGGAGTGAACTATGTGCTCCTGTATAGTTTCTCCAGGAACTGTCTGTAGTTTTTAGGAAAACTTGTGAATGAATCATCTCTGGTTTCATGGAGAAACTTTGCTTATTGAAATGAGATCTAGAATATTTGATGAAAATTGTCCCAAAATCTGTCTCTGGCAAGGTAATAAAGAAAAAGAGAGAGAGAGAGAGAGAGGGAGAGAGATATTGAAGGTGACTTACCTCACGCTAACTTTTACAGTCCCTCTCGAAATTGGGTTGACAAAATTCTTGATACTGCATTTGGTATTGTAATTCTAGAATGAAGTGAATTAGAATTTAAAAGGATCCCTTAGTATCTGGAGTTGTGGTGGTTGAAGCTCTTAAGCTGCTTGTTTGACTAATTGAGTTTTAAGTTCCCCTGTTGTTAACAAAAGTTCATATTCATTGCAGACAGATTCAAATGACCTTATGAGACAGTCTCAAATATTTATTTATGCCAATGGGAACGACAAGCCTCCAACTGCTATTGATTTGGACAAGTCACTCCTCAGGGACTTGTTATTCAACCATAGTCCTGCTAAGGTATGTTGTCTTTGAGTTATAGATGAAGTATTTAATGTTTCATAAAATCGCAAAATCTACTTTTTCAGCTCTTCCGTTGATGCTAAAATGGACTCTTCCAAGTAGTACTTTTATTTTCTAATCTAAAACATAACTTGTGAAAATCTTTGTAATTTCCGTTACTGGTCAAGAGCACTACAAGTTGGGAGTCGGGAGAAAATGTTAGGGAACCAATATGGGTTAGCAACATATTTCTTTTGGGGCAGATGTCAATGGTGCTTACAAGTTGAATATATGGGCTCCTGAGTGTGGTATATGTGACTCCACATTAGTAGGTTAGTTATCCTGTGACATTGCCTGAGAGCACAGTTAAATTGAGAGTCTTATCTAATTCCTAACCTGGCTCCTATATCTTGACATTAATTGTTGATCATTCAGTGGATACCCTAAACCTGTAATATGTCTTGCTAATTGTTGGTTTATTAGAAGGTAAGGGAAAGATGTAAATTGATTTTCTTTATGTGGGTTTTAAAATGGGTAAATTTTTTCTGTACTAGTATATAGCTGTGGGGAAATTGCCATTTGTCAAACTCTCTCTTCTTACCATTTAAGTTGTGTGCAGGATGTTGCATTAGCATCTGTGTCAATGAGGCCAATTCCCTTTTCCCCAGTTTTGGAGAAGCTTTGTCTATCCGACTCCAAGTATGGTTGTGTTAGGCGGTTTTATGTAGAAACGACAGAAGATAATGCGATACCAAAAGCCTTACAGCAGAATCTAATTAGCAATAATCCTCCAGAACAAGTTTTTCATCTCAAGGGTGCTGATCACTCGCCTTTTTTCTCCAAGCCTCAAGGTCTACATAGGATACTGGTAGAGATCTCCAGGATTCCATAAACTTGGAAGTTGTTTTGCTGAATTCCTTATTATTAGAAAAGTCACACCGACACAAATGTAGCAAAGTTATTGTTGTGTAAATTAACCATGTGGAATGCCTATTGGTGTACATGTTCGGTTTATCCAATTACTTTGTTCCATTTGCTATACTTGAGACAGTGAGAATTCCCTTTACTCGGGAAAAAGAATGCTTTAAGATTTGAATGTCAAAAACAAGTTATACTCCAGAAATAAACTTGATTCTTTTTAAATTTTAATGGGTTTTTTTACAAAGTTAATGATCCTTTTTAAGTCAAAAACTATTCGAAATGCGAATTACTATTTGCCCGTTTAGTCATAAAATATTAATTCAATATCTCGGATGTTGAACTTTAATGTTCGAAAATTAAGTGAAATATTAGAATTCTTCTTGGTACATTTAGTGAGAGGTATTTGTCGTCTGAAGTTCCAAAGTCTTTTTTTTTATTCAAATTCATCCTACCCTTAAAAAAGAAAAGAAAAAAGGGTCAAAAATATCCCTTAACTTTAATTTATAGTTTGCTCGTTGTTAAAATAAAATTAATTTTATCCCTTTTGTTATTAATTTCACCAAAAGTCTTTTTCTTCGAATGCTCAAAGACTCAAACTCTCTTAGTTTTTTTTTCCTTTTCTTCGAATGATCCTTTCATTTCTTAACATACTTTATGTTTCTTTAAGGACACCAATCTGTATGGCTTCTCGCCCTCGAAAACACATCTTATGGGGCGGGTTGTTCTTCTATCTCGTCCTTTTGCTCTACTTTGAGAATTCCCACTAGGATTAGTTTGAGCATGTTTCTTTTAAACCTCATCTGAAATTAGAATAAAAGAAATATGGTTAAATCATTTAATGTGACAACACATATCACAAATTTCTCATAAAAAGACAAGTAATTGTTTAAGAAATATTAGGACTAAACGAATACACAAGACCAATAAGATCCTAACGAGGACACATATAAAAAAAAAAAAGATTTTGAATAGGATTCTAATATGTAAATTTGGGTCATAACTCAATCATGTGAACCGATCCAATCTGTTTTAATGAATTATTTAATTAATTAGGATAAAAGACTCCTAGAGGAAGCAGTTTCAAAGTGACCAAAAACATGAAACGTGATAATGAAAAGTGAAAAGAGAGAGGAGAATCTGTAAAATAGCAAATCAAAAATAAAACGTTCAATCTAGAATCAAAAGTATTGAGTTTCTCGGGCAAATTCATCAATACACAACAACAGACTTGTAGTTTGTGAACAAAATCTCTATTTTCTATTGATTCAAAGATAGGAGTTAAGCACAAAATTGTCAAAGAAGCAGATGGATGATTTCCGCTGTAAATTACAAAGATAAACATCTTGTTATTGATTCCTCTTAATATTCCAACACATCTGGATCTGGAGGATAACCTATTTTCCTTTTACCCATTCTGTCAAATTTTCCTTTACTTCTTCTCCATTATTCTTCACTATATAGAGAGAATCTGGAGCTCAACTTTCCAAAACCTGGCGGAAGTTATATGGAGCTCAACTTTGCTGAGATTTATAATAAAGTTTTTGAAGGTGATCCAGCTACATTTCCTAAGGCGATTCACTGGTTTGAGGCTTGGAAAGATTGTGAATTTGGTGATTTGTGGTTGAAGGAATTGGAAGGCAAAGGAGAAGGTGATTTAAACCAACATTGTTTAAATCTGGATCTCAACTTTGTTGGATTTAGAAGGAGAAGTAATATTGGAAAATGGGATAGAATGGGTAAAACGGCAATGGGTCATTCCTAGATGCGACGGGGGGTTAAAAATAGGGGGAATCAGTTTTTTTTTGTAAAAAATTCAATTAAGTTGGGTCAATTTTGAAAATTTCATCAAATAAGAAATAATTTTGATGGAATTAATAACGAAAAAAATTAAAATAAACTTTATTTTAACAATAAAAACAAAATTAAATTATAAATCAAATTGAAAGATATATTTAATCTTTTCCAAAAAAAATAAAAATAAATTATGTCTGTATGAATTTAGATTAGATAATGGAAATTTTCAGTATTTAGGTGGACTTCTATTCTAAGGTGTGGCAAAGACAAAAGGGAATGCCGACTCATCTGCCACAATAATTTTGTCATCCCACCGACGAAATTTGGAACAAATTGTTGTCAGCTTTTTGCTACGTAAAGAACTTGATGCAATATTCTCAACAAATATCCTATTAGTAGCTTAGCTGTTTCCACCGCGAAAGAGCGATCGTGAAATTATTTTATTTTTAATTAAAAATATTATTATTAAATCTTTATTATAATATTTCTTTCATAAAAAAGACTTTTTTATTAAATTTATTCAAATAAATTCATATTTTAATACTAATATTAAACGACACGAAACAAAGCTAAGGAGGGGGACCCTTTAGCTGTTTCCACCATAATTTCATGTCTATCTTGCATTTTTCCAAGTTGTGAGTTGTGACAAAAATCCAGTAAAGGGAACTGACAACTCACATGTGTTTACTTCCATGAAAATCCCATGCACCGAATCAGCTATACACTATACAATTTTGTATTCCTCACAACTCTCAAATAGGGTCCCTTTTTTATTAAATGAATCCAAAAGAACTTGAAGCAATTTTTTTTTTTGGTCTCAGTTTAAGTGATGGAAGTATTATTTTCTATAATCTAAAGATTAAGTTTATTCAAAAAAAAAAAAATTACTCATTACTATTATCAGTAAAGATGGTATTAGCATAAATAACAATTCAATGAATTTATAACAAAGAATAAAATATCATGACAGTAAAAATAACAATATTGTTATACAAACAAAATAACATTCATCCCCCTAATAAATTTTTTACGTTGATTCCCACCTCCTATATCTTTATATTTATTATGATATTGTTATCTAATCATCTCTCGATACATTTTTGATCTAACTATTTCTACCTCTTTTCATATTCACTACATCCAACCACTCACACCACTTAATTAAGACATCCTCCTCAAAGTATAAACAAAAGAGAAACATTCACATATAGCCACTTAAAAATAATTAATTACTCTCTATAGCTATAGTTTGATATTTACAATTTGTGGCTACATGTTATTTAGAGGAGAGAGGCGAGCGAGACTGGGAGGGAGAGGAGAGAGGTGAGAGAGAGGGGGAAAAGAGTGGGAGAAGGTGAATTGTATATGTATATTGATTAGATAATTATATATTATACATATATAATTGTATATATGACAAGAAAGATTGGGAGAGGGAGGAGAGAGGCGAGCGAGACTGGGAGAGAGAGGAGAGAGTCGAGCGAGAGAGGGCAGAGAATGGGAGAGAGGTGAATTGTATATGTATATAATTGTATATAACTGTATATTATACATATATATTTGTATAAATGGCAAGCGAGAATGGGAGAGGAAGGAGAAGCAAGCAAGATTGAGAGCTAGGAGAGAGGCGAGTGAGAGAGTGGGAGAGAGGTGAATTGTATATGTATATAGGTTAAAAATTATATATTATACATATTTTGTATATCCTGACGAATTATACATATACAAACATGACTTACTATATAAACTCAAAAATAGCCCACGTAATTAATGAATAATATCAATCGCGAATAATATTTATAACAAATTATAACTATTATAAATAATTAAATAATATAAATTTACTTATCCGCATAATTTTCCTTAAACGAAATGCTCATCCGTAGGCCAAATGGAACGTGATGAGGGGGCACTCCTTTTTGTCGGTTCGTTTCAAAGTTCACAATTATGTTTTGAGAATATTTGAGAAATGATCCCTTATGTTAGGGATAAATTAAAAATGACCCTTTAAATTTATATTAAAATTGTTTAATCCTATAAATTAGTTAAATCGAATTTTCTTTATCTACAACCAAATATTAAATAAATCCTAACAGTTAACTTGTAAGATAGTTATGAAAAACATACTTTACCTAAAGAAAGCACTAGCAAAGTCAATACAATCACAACATCAAAAATTATATCAGCCAACAAAATTAAATTAAAAAATAGAGAAAATAATTATTTAAAAAACACATCTTGTCCTCTTAAATCACAAGCTAATCATCTTCCCATTAGAAGAAAAGAATAAACATTTTTGAAAGATAGTATATTCAAAATTAATAGTGAATATTGAATAAACACAAATATTTATATTTATAATCTACTTATTATAGTTTTCTTGCATTTTAAATATGTTAGACATTTGTAATAAAATTAAAATTTTGTGTGCTTAAATTAACTTAGTTAGATGAATGTATTTTTTGTGTAGGATTAGACATATATGGGACCTAAATATTTTTTAGAAACATAGATAAGAACGTATATAATTCTCATTATTCATAACAATAAAAGGTGTGGGTGGAATCTTACTTTCTAAAGAATTGAAAGGATCGTAGTTGCAATTAATTAATATTATTGGGTTATTTAGTATAATTACTCTTTTTATTTTTCAAAATTCAAATTCTTTAAAACCTTTATTTAAAGCTAGCTATTTTCCCCACCGGCCCCCCTCCTCTGTCTATCGCTTCGGAATTATACCAAAGGTATGGATTTGCTCTCTTCTTCAAGCTTTTTGATTTTCTGGTTGATGTGACTTTCTGTTTAATCTGAGTTTATTTTAAAATTTTGATTTCATATGTCGATGTGAATTGTTGTTTTTTAGATCTTGTGCTTGTTTAATGGGAAAATGATTAGTTTGAGAATGCTGGATTTTGGTTAGTATGATTTTTATCCTCTGCTTATCTCATTTTAGCATATTGAGCCCTTTTCAAGAGTCAGATTTACAGTTCTCTCAGTGGATCTGTAGTGTTCTGTTTTGTGTTGAGTGATTTCCAATTTAAAGGATGTGATTTGCGATCCCTAGTCTCTTGAGGTCTGTGGAGGCTAGTATGTACGTAACCTGATTCCTACCTTGTGCGAACCCTAGTCCCTTGGATGTGCAAAATTAAGAAGTGGAGCTTGAACTTGTTCTTGGAGTGAACAGGATTTGGATAATGTAGTATGTTATGTGGATTTGTTTGATCTTTGGTTGAGAATGTTAGTTGCGTACAGTGGAGTTATGAAGCACCGCACCCTGTAGAACGTGATATTAAAAGCTGGTTTTGAAATTGGAGTAAAAGATTGTGCAGGTGTTAAAGAACATTTAGCTTATTGATCTCTGAAAACGAAGATGATTGTTAACAATGGAGTATGAGTTTGTTTAGAGATGTTATTGTGTAGTTGAGCTGAGCACAGTTGTGTGTGCCTGTCAATGTTTATTGAATGAAATTGCTAACTATTTTAAAAAATAATGTTGAATTGTTTTATTTTACAGTTCAATTAACATGCCTTGCTTGATTTTTTTTGCAGAGAAATTAATCGTTAAGGATGGGCCGCGGAGTGAGTGCTGGGGGCGGTCAGAGTTCCTTGGGCTACCTGTTTGGAAGTGGAGAGCCTGCTAACAATTCTCAGACTGCTCGCAACCAGGAAAAGGCTCCGACTAATGAGCCTGTCTCAAGGCCAGCTGCTGCTGCACAACCTGTGGATAACACCAAGAATGTACCAGCAGGCATTCACAGTAACAACACAAACAACTATTTTCGTGCTGATGGCCAGAACTGCGGCAACTTTCTAACGGTATGTTAGCTAGCAACTTGTTATGATTCCTGCTGCCATTCTTTTGAACTTTGGAGTGCTTTTAAGGTTTGCAAACTTGTATTATGTTGATTTGCGTAATCATTTCATCTAAAAGCTTAAACACATGAATATCTTATTTGACAATGGGTTACCGCGAGAATTGAATGCCCAGGTTCTCTTTTTGCTGCTTTGGTATTTTATTGGATATCAAAAAGCTCAAGTTGTTAAAAGAGATCACACATTCATTTACTTAATTATATATTCTACAATCTGCTATACTAAACACACACACGGCCTTTCTTAATTTTGAAACCATTCTTCTATCATTGGTTCCTTTCTTTCCTAACAGAACTCTTGTTTTGAGATCATAATACTCAACTTCTCAAACCTCGTAACTTCGTATGCCTCAATAGGCATGACCAGTTTGCGTTGAGGCTTTGATTTTCTTCCAATGGAAGAATATTATAAATATCAGCACCTTTTTGGCTTGCTTAAAGAGTTAAGTGATACCAATCTTTGTCCTGGAATAATTGCAGGAAAGGCGTTCAACCAAGGTCCAAGCAGCACCTGGTGGTGGATCTTCCTTGGGTTATTTATTTGGTGACGGCAGCAGCAAGTGATGTCACTGGACATCAAGTTTCAAAAGTTTGCTTTCCCAGTTATGTTGAAAGTATGAATGGATTTCGTTTACTGCAAATTTGAAACTTCTTTTCACAATTGTAATAGTGTCTAATTGACACTGGATTCAAACTGCTATGTAAGTGCTGAATGCTGTATTACCCATTATTTCTGTATCATGCGAGTTAAAAACACACTTTTTCTTTAGTTTAATCTGTTGATGTGGAAATGATGTCATCCTTTTATATTTGTTTCATATTAAGTAGTTGAACAACTATCCTTGCAGATGCCAAATACCATCCTTGCATAATAACAGCAATAACTAACTTTTGGTGAATGTAACAAACACACTCATCTACCCATTACGAGGAAATAGATCTCCTTAATTCGCGATCCAGAGTATCTCTCAACACAGTAAAAACGATGCTATATCTTTCATATTGTTCTTCAACGGTGCTGTTGATCATCAAACTACACTATTGCAGTATAACAAGTCACTTTGAAAGAAAAATCCTAACCGTCCTTCCTAATTCTTTTTGATACTATTAGAGTTCAGAAATAATACTCGATTACTTGCCTTATTGCCCAAGATATGTTAAAATTCCAATATATGTTGATAAACACATCC